AACAATGTAAAGTATATTTATTTGTTATTGTGATGTTTATTGAATAAATGTTCTAATCAAATATTCAACTAACAAATATTTTTTGAATCATTTAAGGTGCGTAGACATTCGAGATTTTGATGATAATTTTACACTATGACATGATGTAAATGGTCTAGTATGATCAGAGTTGGGGAGAGTTCACCCTTCTTTTAGATATTTATTCATATAGTCATCCATATATGACTTATACCAGGAAGTATTACTCATTATCTTTATGTGGCATGGGTGTATTTTACGAAATGAGAAGACGAAAAGCGAAAACCGAATGACCCCCCGGTTAGGGGGCATAAGGTTCATTTAGAGGAGTTGTAAAACGCTGATTTCAAGCCAGTGTTGTACATGGGAGCCAGAATCTCAAGGAAATAAACGGTTCATGAACCTAGTTTGAGTCATCAGGTACAATGAGAACGCAGCTTCCAACTTTGATCTAGTGTTATGAATTAAATTTCTAGATCAAAGGATCGGGGGATGGTCCACTAAGAAAATTTCCTGCTTCGGTTTATAATAATAATAGTAATTATTATATCTGTTGAACAGAAGATATCGGTGGCAGTAGATAATGCGTTATTCATTGACTTTTTTATGCGATTCGGAAACTAGACAAAATAACACAAAACATCCCTAACATAAGTATACACTCACTTGCCCTGGCAACAAACTCATAATCTAACACTTAAAAATCTGCAGCGCCGATCACTATAAGATAAAATACATGGATATGCATACAGCATTTCAAATCTGTCCTTGGTAACCAGCCACTAAGAATGTGTAGTCTAAAGTAGTAAATTTAATAACAATCAGACAGTTAAAAAAGTCCTTTGGTTGGATTAGTGCGAAACTATGCAGTAAATACCTATATGTTGTTTCTTAAATAGGGTAAATGGTTATTTTTTACTTGTCAACAGTTTCTATAACACTAAAGAATGATATGAATTAAAGTATTATTAATTCATTTGTATTGATTCCCTGAATCTTTCCATTGATGTTTAGAACTGCAATTGATCAGACTCCTATTAGCATATGTGCATCATGTGCGGATTGCCTGCATATTGATTTAAACCACAAACATTATGAGCAGAGATGGATGGTGGCTAACAGTAGAATCCAGTGAATGGCACTGGGTTTGAGTCCCGGGTGAACAACAACTCTGGGATGCAGGTACATTCAGCTGAGTCCCAAACAGGATGAAAGGCGCGTCCTGGATTCCACAGCTAGTCACAATCCATCTCCGCTTAAAAACAGATCAGTTTTATTTTTTGCCTTTGATAAACTATCTTGAAATAAGGAGAATGCCCTCAGCTTATACTGTGCATTCGAGTGGTAATATAGTGGTTGAATCATTTTTTTCAACCAGTAGGTAGCAAGTTCAAATGACACTTCAGCAACTCCGATTTGGCAAGCGACGTATGATCGATCACTAGATCTCGCACAACTAAAGTGTACATAAACTGGTAATTAGTAAATGAGTTTTGTTTTAGCAAACACTTTCGGTTGTTTATCTTTTCTAATTCCGAACCTACCAAACCGAAGTTTAGGTCTTGTTGTCACTTTTTTCTGATCATCTAAAATTGAACAAAATGTGGAGGAAAGTGGAGAACAAAGGGACCACAGAGTAACTTGACCCCCATAGGATTTAATAAAGGCTACCTCGAATATGGTATTTGTAATGTAACTTAATTATCACATGTAGATTTATCTATTCAGCACTAAGACATACTGTTTTATGTGAGTAACCAAGAGTTTTAACCATTAAGCTACCGCCCAACATATGATATTGATACCCAATAACTGTAGTTTTATTTCGTTCATCTGAAGGAAAACACGGAATACAATGGACAGCTCAAAATCAATTAGACGATTTGGACTTCGCAGATGATCTAGCCCTCCTATCGCATACACACGAACAGATGCAGATGAAGACAGCCAGTGTAGCAGCAGTCTCTGCATCAGTAGGCCTCAGCATACACAAAGGGAAAACCAAGGTCCTCAAATACAACACGGAGAACAGCAATCCAATCACTCTTGATGGCGAAACTCTGGATGATGTAGAAGCCTTCACATACCTGAGAAGCATCATCGATGAACAAGGAGGCTCAGATGTAGACGTAAAGGCAAGAATTAGCAAAGCAAGGGTCGCATTCCTACAATTGAAGAACATATGGAACTCAAAACAGCTTTCAACCAATATCGAAGTGAGAATCTTCAATACGAACGTCAAGGCAGTTCTACTGTATGGAGCTGAAACTTGGAGAACTACAACAACCACCATCAAGAAGGTACAAGTATTTATAAATAGCTGTCTTCGCAAGATACTCAACATCCATTGGCCGGATACCATCAGCAACAGCCTTTTGTGGGAGAGAACAAATCAGCTTCCAGCTGAAGAAGAAATTAGGAAAAGACGATGGAAATGGATAGGACATACATTACGCAAATCGTCAAACTGCATCACAAGACAAGCCCTAACTTGGAATCCCGAAGGGAAGCGGAAAAAGAGGAAGGCCTAAGAATACATTACGTCGGATAATAGAAGCAGATATGAAAAGGATAGATAACAACTGGAAGGAGCTGGAAAGGATTACCCAGGACAGGGTTGGATGGAGAATGCTGGTGAGTGGCCTATGCTCACGAGGAGTAACAGGTGTAAGTAAGTAAGTAAGTAATTTTCTATATCATCAATCACAGCAAGACTCAAAGTAAAGCCAACTCTGACAGATACAGACAAAATGTATAATTTGTTTTTATTTTATGAAAGAAACAAATTCATGATAAATTCAAAGTGATACCAAAAATAAAAACGAAAATTTCGACTTAACGTCTATCAATGCACCATTTTCAGAATACTAAGTATTACATCTGAGAATGTTGTTTTATAGAATAGATAGTTTGTGGTTAACAGCCGGATCCAGAATGACCATTTCTTTCTACTTGGGACTTCTCAGTTGGATGTACCTGAATTTAAATGTTGATATATGCAACAGGACTCGAACCGAAGACCTCTAGCTTTACATGCCCAATGCCTTATCCACTGAGCTACTGAGTTCAGATAGATAAGAATTCTCCAATAGGATAAAATATGGCTACTGAATTCCACTCTTAGCCATAAGTAATCTATTCTATAAAACTTGTGATAAGATAGCTACACCAAGGCGGTTCATAAAGGATACATATATGTCAATTAAGACTGATCAGCAATGCAGTCCACAATATTAACAACGGAATACTTAAAACCATAATAATAATAATTACATGTTAACTGTATTGCTTTTATTACGTTCAAATCAGTCAACAACAGTGTATACAGTTATAGAATGTCAGTAACAAGCCTTTTATATTAAATGATGAATACTTAATAACCATTTTCTCTACTTCACTTATATTTTAATACATCAATACACTCACGTCGGTTCACGATCGTTCTTCTATTTTTACATGTTAGTTCATTTGTAACTACCAGAATATGTTCCCAATAGATCTGAGAATTTCTATTCCACTAATTACAATTAATATTATGTTTAGTTAATCTAAATGACCCCGTACGTCAATCTAAGTTAGACCTGTTATAACCTGTGGCCATGTGCCCTATTAATACATAATGAAATGATACCGCCAATTAGAGAACAGTGAATTATCGACCAGACCAATAACGCAAAAACATGTACGAGCAGTCTAGAGGCCTTAGCGATCCTACTTTCTGCCTTACCCTGCCTGTTGAGTCCAGAACACAAATCTCAGCCTCTGCGATATGAATCATTTATTTCAAACATGCTGGGTTTATATACAAACCAAACAGACCACAACGCACCATAAAACAGAAAATGATATTTGTACAAGATCTAACCAAAAATTGGCTGTGAATGTGGGAGATTGTAATTAATAGACTGGGCATAACGCAAGAACTGTAAATCGTACAATACTAGTCTATAGGTCGAAATAAAGCTTATAATAAGAGGAATATGAATATACATAGTTCAGTTACTTAACAATTACACAATAAAAATATTTGTATAGTATTAGTCCATAAATGGTTCCTAACAGTTATCGTTCATTACCCTGATCGGGATCTATTACAACCACCACTAACAACCTGGAAACACTGGAAGGTCGTTTCGTCCTAGTATGGAACTAATGAGCAATGCGCGTCCACGACCCCTCACGCGAGACTTTAATTCAGGACCTTCAGCCCCGCATGCGAACGATTCGGGATTTTAATGGTGGTTTAGCTTAGATTGACTCATGAATCCAACCGTTAAAATACTACAGTCTACACAAACCCCATTCTCATAATTCCATAAGTCATAAATAAAGTACAGTTTGATAAAAAAATATGCATTAGATAAAAGAAATGAACATGCTATAGAAACCAAAAGAGTCCAAACAACAATGATATTGATGCTGCTGAAACAATAATTTAAGTGAAACAATAAAAATGTTGAGATTAAGGAATTAAAGAAAGTGAATATTAGTAGATTTAAAGGAAGACAAATAATGAATATATTCAAGTCACTTCGATTGTTCTCCAGCTTTAATACCAACTCTGTTCAACCATAGAAAAGGATTATCATATGTAATACAATCAAAACGTTTATACATTCTGGTACCACTCAATGGTTGAAAAGTTTAAATACTAAACGCTAGGTGGTAAGCCCGAACCATGTTATATCTCCTTCCTTTTGGGCAGTTAAGTAGTATTACAATCTCTTACACTCAGAGTTTGACCCGTAGTTAAGTATAAAAATCTGTTAGATGCAAATAATAAATACCACGACCCATAACAATGGGATTGATAACTTATGCTGATATGGATGCGCTCAACTTTCTCTCGACCATCTCCTACACCACCTAACATTGTGCGACAGCAACTGGATATATATATTGTTGAAGATTAACAATGGGAAAATGCAATTAATAATACGTTACAAGGATTCATACATACCGATAAAACAACATTCACTTACAAATGATCTTGACGTTTGAAAGCTTTATGGCATACAATACAAATGTATTTACGTTCTTCACTATGTGTTAGCTTATGCTTAGCGATAGCACTGGAATTACTGAATACCTAAAGAGACAGAAAAATAAAACAAAATATCTAATTATGTATCTTTTTTTCAAACCAATTTTGTGAAAAAAAGTGATTATTTGCTGTATATAATCCATTTGGTTTCATATACTGTAAATTAAGTAGTATTATAGTTTAAAATGTACTAAATAGTTCACGACCAATCTGATTTGAAATAATGACTCCCAGTTTTTTTCTGAGAAATTAAAAAAAGTCTTGCCAATCATCATTATCGCCGCGATTAATTATAATGTATTCAATATTTAATAAATGTGTTGTATTCAGCAGCTTCGGTCATTTTTCATTAATGTAGTAGATGAGTAACTTCGCCTGAAGCTCCTCTGGGGCTACTGCCGGTCCCATGCTCGGATAAAGGAGGAGGGTTGGACATAGGGTTAGCGACCTAATCCCGTAGGAAACTAAATCGCTAAAAAAGGCTAACTAGAAAAAATAATTCAAACCATTTAAACTCTGCCCTGAGAGTAAGAAGGTCTTCACTCAGAAGAGTTATGACACATGGTGAAAGCCGAGTTCCTTCGGAAGTCACGAGGTTGATGACTCTTCCGACAACCACAGCAACCATCAATTAAGGTACATGGAATGTTTGTACAATGTGGGAGACGGGGAGAGTCTTCCGAATTGCTGCAGTAGATGAGTGCTGTGTATTTTCATTCTGTTTGTTAGGTTGAACTAAATTGATATATTCATATGATAATGTTTCGGTGAACCCCAGACGCTTTAAATGAAATCTTTGATGAAAAATTTCATTCCAATATACAGCATTTAGTCATTAACTGAACAAAAGGATAGCCAAGCGTTAGATACAATAAACTTATCGGACACTGAAAATGTTCAAGATAATCACCGCCACTGTTATTTATTCAACGAGATATAATTATGCAGCACTTAAGATAATGTTTACTAATAAAGTTTATTATAGCATTAATGAGTTGAAATGACAAAGTGTGAATGCAAATACACTCAGAATGCTTCCTCATTTAGGGATAAATTGTGTTTTTGACGCAAAATAATAACTAGTTCCTTTGAGAAACCTTTCATGTAAATTATTTTATTAGTGGTGGACTGAATCAGAAACATTTTTATAATATACAGATCAGGATATCCAAATATAAGGTCGACAGTTTGTTGTTATAAACCATTTTAATTTTCATATTACGGAAACTTTAGTTAGATAACCACTGGAAACTAGGAAGCATTGAAAAGCTATTTATTCCCAATGTCAGATAAGGAACACCTATCACCTAACCAAGCATCAAACCAGGATCAGAAGTCCCATACTTAGATGAGGAAATTATCAAACGCTCCCTGGTTTTCAGTAACTTTCGAAACAACATCAGTTCATGATAAGAAATTTAAATCTCGCCAATACCCTATAACAACAATCATACAATTTTATTAGAGTGCTACATGAAATCATTTGTATTGCTATTAGTGGCCTTAGAAATAATTCGAAATAGACTGATCTGTAATCACATAAATGACTTATTTTATCCGAAAATTCTTTGATTTCAAAAAAGAAAAGTTGATTATAAACTCTGGAAAATTTAGAAACCAAGTAGAAACGACACGCGTATTGATGTTCCATGAATATTTTTTAGTGGGATGATTTGTAATTTAAACTATCCATTTGACTAATAAATGACGTTAAAGTCTTTTTGAATATTCCTATATATCGGTGAAGTTTTGTATACTCCTACCACAGATAATAAACCGTAGAACCTGTTTGTTCAAATCCCAACTTAACACATATCTTCTCATGTCTGTACTTGACTGATACAGTATTTATTTTTTTTAAAAAAAAACTGTTTATGGACCAGGTTGTCATAGACTTTAATGTCAAGTTATTGGATTCACAAGTGTTTAGTATTTAAGATAGAACTATGAATATGAATTGACTATTGAATTTGAAGGAAACTGAGAGTGTGTGTGTGTGTGTGATGCGATGATTAAGAATTAGGTTTAATATATTCACGTTCTAATTGATTGTAGAATGAATGGCCTGCAAAGTGAATTCCTCCAATCGCCCATGATATTTTACCATAGTATTTTCAGTTTCATATTTTATAATATAAGCATGTAATTTCGTTACAAAAAAGAATATATTATTCTGGCTGGTGATATATTTTCTGACCTCAAATTATTGGTGACGAGATATCACTGGGAAAATATATACCATTGCATATCATCGACAGATGTACATTCATTTTCTTTCATTTTGACAGTCAAAAATTCATTTGATTCATGAAATTCGCCTCCGTAACAGAGGGAGCAAGAGAACCATACAAAAAAATTAAGTTTTAGACACAAAGATTCAACAACGAATCATCCAAAGAGAGTTTAATGCACTCAAAAGTACATTTCACTGTTTAATGTGAGATAAACGCCATTCTGAGACATAACCAGTACGGAGACGTAAAAACGTGAGTTATCACAATTTGCCATATAACATTAGCATGATGAAATGGAATTATTATGAATAGTAAAGCAGTCGAAATAATTTATCACCAATGATAATCAGAAAGGCTAATTATTGAGAACATTGTAGGAAAAGATATGTATAAAGAGAATCAATACGTTACTCTATAAAATCAATATATTAAAGCAGCCATGACAAACCGACAAATTCGAACTCGACAAAAGTTAATCCCACTATGACATATCAATAACTGAGCAACTTCCTGCTTCTTAGGGTTTTAGGGTATGAAAGCTGCCACAGCATTGTAAGAAGAGACGAATAAAAAACTAATAAAAACACAACACCCACTCCCAATTAAATGAATGATTTTTTTACGAAATGCAAACTTTGTAGCTAAACATGAATGTTTATAACACGGTATTGCGACAGAACGTCAACAATTATCCTGAGACAACGCGAATATTGAACATACAGATCCATCAGATAAACAGATATAAACTTCCTAAGAACAGGCATAAAGGCATACTGCTACAGATTGTCACGTTTCACATAAAAATCGAGACTTATATCCTTCCTTTCTGTTCCAATTGATAAAGTACACTTTTATTCTTGATAAAAAACCATTTAGAGGTTTCACACAACAGTAAACTAATATGTAGGTCATATTCGTCATATATCGGTATCATTTAAGATATCATTAAAAACCAAGGAGCATTAGACAGTTTAGCTCTAGCATGTGACTCTTCAGCAATGTGCATTTACGATCCATCTATGGGTAAAACCCAGGACTTCTAGATCTCGCTGGGGAAGCCTAGCCATTGGAGCTATTGGATAGGCGTCAAATGGTACAATTTCAACTACAATGAATTTGCAGTATAGCACAATAATCAACCAATGTCATGTATCCAACAGTCGATGGTCTAGAATACTTACTACTCATTTACATCCAGACGAAATAATCAGATACAACACATCAAATAAAAGATATAAGACCACAGAACTAGAGAACAATACATATACATGTACAATCTAGTTTTTTCCGAAAAGTATTGAGGGAAATTATATTTGGAAAATTAATTTTTCACGGTCATTAGTATTACATTAATCCAACCTCTATACACCTTGTGTCAATTTCACTTCGTCGTGCTAATGTTGTGTAGGAACGTGGATCAACACACATCGGCTCCAAGTTGATGATAGCTTACAGATAACTAACAACTTTTTGAACACTACGTAGTGACCAACGTTATATTTATCTGGTGTTTTTAGCTCTGCTCGAATGTTATCGATCAAGTTGCAATGTGGCCACTAGTCCGGGTGACTCAACATAAAACATACTATGCTGAGATATTAAATAGATGTAGTCAACAAGAAACATTGGACCTATGTCCACAGTAAGAAACATTCCCACCAAGATTCCATGTAGCCTGAAAACTACGGTGACAACATTCCAGATTGTAAAGCAAGGTAACATGGATCTAAATCCCATAAGAGACATAAGTTTTCCCAACATTGTAGATACACCCTACAGTTCAGCATCAACAAGAAAGAAGCCCAGGTTCAGGGTTTCTTACCAACTACTTGGAACCACTTAATACATATACATTACATCATGTAATTTAACAAAATGATGGAAAAAATACATACTTACTTTATCACAAAACGGACATTTTAATGTTGTTCTTGGATGAACTGGTTGCTTTACTAAACTAGTAGGCGTTTCATTTGAATTAACTTTAACAGCAGGATAATCAGATGAAGCATTATTATTATTATTATTATTATTATTATTATTATTATTATTGTTCATTGTATGTTCCTTTGTCACTGATGATATAGCTGCTCGTTCGTTGTTGTGGTTCTTATTCTTACCACTTATAGTATGAGTAGTATTCCATATAAGATTAGAGGAAATTGGAGAATTGGGCGAACTAATGGTGGGATTATTATCATCATTCTCGTTATTAAGAATATTAATACATAAATCAGCAAATTTTTTTTGTTCAAATTTTGAAAATAAAAATAAATCACTTGATGATATTGTACTATTGTCATTATTCAATGTTAAATTATTGATAGACGATTGTATAGTATTACAACAAGAAGATGGAAGAATAGGAAGAACAGCAGTAGCAGTAGTAGGACCAGTAGTCGTAGTAGTAGTAGTAGAGGTGATGATCATCTGATGATCAGCTTCATTAGAAATTATTGATGAAGTAGGAGAATTACACAAAAGATCAAAATTATATGGATCGTTATTAGAGGAAGTGGAAAAAGCAATAGAAGATAAGGAATTAATAGTTGTTGGGGATGTTATACCTTTTAGTAATCTATTCACCGGGTTCACTTTAACAGTAGAAAGATTTGATTGGCTATTTATCAAATTCGTTCTGAATAAATCACGACTTGATGATGTAATGATGATGGAGATGACTTATTCGAATTGATTAATGGCTCACTAAAATTGGATATGAACATAGTTTATTTTGTATGTGTTATAATTTTTAAAAGAAATCTAAATTATAAGATTATCAGTATCAGAAGGGTTTTTGTGGATATTATAGTAATTTTAGTAGTTGAGATCATGATCTTGGATGCGCACTATTGAAAAGTCCCACAGTGGGACGAAACTACCGTTCAGTGCTTCCACGTTTTCCATGATGGTCTAGCTTCAATTGACTCATGATCTCAACTATAAAATTATTGGAAAGAGAGCATAAATGAAACGCAATCACTAACAGTAAAATAACTAGTTGGTTGGCATATTACATTCAATGATAACAAATTTGTAATTACTGAAAATTTCATACTAATCCGTTTTACATAACTATTAAATACTAACTGCGAAATTGTGATCGGTTTAGATAGTCGGTGTAAAGTCGTGAATCAAAGGTTTTTACTATTTGACATTGGGCTTTCAGGTGTACTTAAGATTTGAGGAAAACAGTATTACCTGTTGGACTCGAACTAGGACTATTTAGATTAACTGTTTGAAACGTTACCACTAAACAGTTTAGGTCGCTATTTGTAATGTGACTTTGCAATCGAATGCAACTTTACGAAATTGACCAACGTCTTATATGAGATCTAGCAATATTACCCAACTTTCACCAAACTGAACTAAGAGAGGGTTCGAACCTGCAGCTCACTGGTTGAAAATCAACTAATAACATCATTAAAATGTCACTTTTTTAAATAAGCAATGACCTATATATTATATATACACTACCTCACCAATGATAAATGCTAATAACAAGCAAAACCCATCTAGAAAAATTATCTAACAATGGCCTCGAAATCTATCTAAACATTGAATATACAATAACATAATGTATGATGTGAAAAAGTTATGGCAACGAATACTTTTAATTTGAATAAACATGTTTAATGTTACAATTGAACTAGTTGATATTGAGAGTTAATTGGTCAGTTAGTCAGCTACAACGGAGGGCTAGGGACATATATGCATCGGTACAAGTTGCCAAACCACATTAGCACAACAACATGAACACCAGATTCATAGAAGTAGTTAATTCAATAGTGGTAATATATAAAAGAAAGATTGAATACAAGGATATAGTACAAGAAGAAAGAATTAGTTCGTAGAAAGAAAGATATAAAGTGATTTTAATCTCATAGTATAGGGGAGAAAGAGAGTTTATACACCTACGCGATTGTGATCTATTCTGAGCAATATCACCCAGAGTTTCCAGCCATGTCACCCATAGTCTTCAGTTAATTGGTCTACTCACATCGGACAATTTATTTATGAGAATTCATTATACATGAAAATATTATGCATCTGGGCACTTATATATTAGAGGAGTTATGTTAGGAGGAATAGGGTTCAAAATCAAAAAAACTCAATTATAGTACTTTACCAAACATTATACTTTCGCTTTACTGGTATTAATAATGCATCATTAGAACAAAAACCTTACAGAAATATTAGATATAGAGGGGGAAAAAGTTTAAAATTCACATACAATGAAAATAATGTACTTACATACATTCAATATATTCAAAATAATACACAATAGAATATTAATGATTAGCCATACAATATCAAACTTTCTTTCAGGAACAATAAAATTGAAGCATTTCTCACATTTTTTCAATGATTGAACCTAGTTTTGAGGCATGTAAAATCTGAAAGAGAAAAAATTAGAAGATTTTGTTTGAAAGTTATAAATTCAATATATTAAATATCATTAACACTGGTTGGAATCATGAGTCAATTGAAGCTAGACCACCATGGACAACCTGGAAGCACTGGATGGCCGTTTCGTCCAAGTATGGGACTCCTCGCCAGTGCGCACCCACGAGACTCGAAACCAGGACCCATCAGTCTCGCGCCAGGCGCTTAACCAACTAGACCACTGAGCCGGCATCCAACGGTGTTAATGTCTAACTTCAACCAATCCACGATGGATGCGCACTGCTGAGGAGTCCCATGATGGGACGAAACGGCCGTCCAGTGCTTCCAGGTTTTCCTTGGTGGTCTAGCTTCAATCGACTAACGATTTCAACCAGTGAAATTACTAAAAATCTCCACAAAACCCATTCTGATAATAATAAATATCATTAAACAAATTGTATAACTATATATCTATTTTATAAACCCTAGTTGTTATGTAGTGGGGTGGAAACATGGAGAACTACGAAAGTTATCATCCAGAAGATACAAGTGTTTATTAACAGTTGTCTACACAAAATACTTTGGATCTGTTGACCAGATACTATTAGTAATAACCTACTGTGGGAGAGAACAAACCAGATTCCAGTGGAGGAAGAAATCAGGGAGAAGTGCTGGAAGTGGATAGAGCACACATTGAGGAAAGCACCTAACTGTGTCACAAGGTTAGTCATCACTTAGAATCCTCACGGTCAAAGGAGAAGAGGAAGACCAAAGGGCATATTACGCCGAGAAATGGAGACAGACATGAGAAGAATGAACAACAATTGCATAGAACTAGAAATGAAGACCCAGGACAAAGTGGGTTGAAGAATGCTGGTCGGCGGCCTATGCTCCATTGGAAGTAACAGGCGTAAGTAAGTAAGTAAGTTGCATGTTATTCATTTAGTTAAGCCTAAAATATGAGAGAGCATTTGAACTTAGAACTTAAATGAGTAAGTAGTTAAAGTTAATTAAACCACAGAATTCCAACAGTAGAAACTAGCAAATTCAAGAATATAAATAAGTAATGAACTACTAACACTGGAATTTGTTTTCAGATAAGGTAGGATACACCATTTGGATTCATTGCATTGCAGTTTTTTATACTTGACAGTTCCCAACTGGTAAGTAACATTGTGTTGAGATAAGACAAATCAATGAGAATGAAAAAATCCGTGAGTGAATTTTGACAAATCAATATTTATATATTTAACATGTATTATTTAGACATTCGGTTGTAGTTTTTTTATTCTTCTAATTGTAAACTTTGGCTATACAATCAGTGTTTTTTTTTTAAAGTTAAGATAGTGAAACTATAATTTGTGGATGACCTTTGAGCGACGCAAGAGTGAACATGAGATTGTTCACCTAATTAGGGTTATAAGCCAGTACGAGGAATTAGAATTACGATTTACAGTCGATAGTTAAAGTTTTCATCATGAACTGACATAAGCTATAATGTTAAAACTCTACTTAACCAAATGGATAGATGAATTTTGTGCCAAAATCCAAGATATATATTTGATTGGTTTGTTCATAAATTATAGTCTCGTCGTTAAAATATAGAAGTTACACTGACTTTTTGTGTGTGTTCTGAATGGGACTAGAAAACAGGATTCTGCGTGAGCCAATAAACATAAACATTCTTCGTGTCACTTTTTAATATTACCTGTGAATACATCTAGTCCTACAGGGGGTCAGTCGCAGCCCAAATAGCTCAGTGATAACATCTCTGACTGTGAAGTTGGGTGACAAATGATCGGATCTTTCAGGGAGTATCAGTTCCCTCAAAATTACAGGTACACCTTGCTGACGAGTGGCAAATAGTACGAAACCTGGGTTCAAGGTTTCTTGTTGACTGCCTCTAACCTCCAACCATCTTACATTTAGGAGTAAGTTGGAAGAAAGCTAGGGGCGGCCAGACCAAAACATAACACAAATCCATGAAGTCACTGACCCATTGGACTGAGTCATGTTGGTAGGTGTAGACTACCTGGTTGGGATCCCCTAGGCGATAACCGATGGTTAATGACCTTGAATGACATGGCTCAAAATCGTTTTCAATGACGCAGATGCATCCACTCGTTGTATTCTTCCAAATACGAAACTTCTAGATTCTCCATATCCCTTTCTTTTATTTCTTTTTCCAAATTTATTTCATTGAATTATACTCCTTGAATAACATTTTCAAATTTTTATGTTTCCGATTACTGCTTATAAATTTACTACCTCTACTATTATGGGATTTGGAATGACAACTGCATCTCTGTGCTAATATCGTATGGCAACTCGAACTGATGTACGTACTTATGAAGTTCTACGTTGTTACTGACTGACTAACTGATATTAGTATTACTGGTTCAAACATAGTAATCAACCCAAGATCATATCATAATATGGATATACCTAACATCTGTTTTATATAGAATGATCAATAATCAACGATATCTCAATGTATACGAGGTTGAAAATCTTATCATTATTAATAGATCTAATGCATAAAAGAGTAATTGTATTTCTATTTTTTTTAAAAAAAAGAGGGCGAAATATAAGATTAATTATGGGAGTGGTGTAAGTTACCATAAATGATCATGATAACAATCATAGTGATAACCATAACAGTACTATAATAATAATGGTAATAATAATACAAAAAGCTTAACCATAAATTATAGTAATTACATTCCATATTAACAGAATTTATTTGACAAGTAAAATAAATTCTCAATCAATGAATGTTTCTTACTGGTAACATACACAAACTATTAAATGACTAGATAGGTTATGAAAGTGATAAAATCACTTTCCACTTTAATGAATTCATGATATGATAAACACTATTAACCATATGAGCATGCATACACAAAACTGAGAATAGGGACTTGAATCAATGAAATACTTTTTTTTTATTAATCTTTATGCATCATAAATAAAAATGAATTATATTTTTATTACATTTTAGTGTAGAATATTTGACTAAAATTGTTATCATTCATATGGTAAACTGTAATCTACAATTGGTTAAACAAATACTTATATATGCTTATCTATGTTGACTATATGAATATAATTTCTATACAATTATATTGTAAAAATGAATGGTTATTTATGTGAATTGAATTGTAGTCAGTCAGTCAGTCAGTAACAACGTAGAACTTCGTACATACATACATCAGTTCAAGTTACCATACCACATTAGCACAAAAATACAATTATCGGTTCAAATCCCATAGTGGTAGAGGTAGTAAAAGTATAAGCAGTAATCGAAAGCATTAGGGCTCGTAGATGTTATTCAAAGAGTATAATCCAGTGAAATAGATTTCAAAAGAGAAGAAATAAAGGACATGAAGAATACAGATTAGAATTTGGGATAACACAAAAAGTGGATGCATCTGCGCCATTGCAAACGATTTTGAGCCATGTCAGTAAGGGTCTCTAACCATCGGTTGCTATCATCTCGCGGTCCCCAACCAGGTAGTCTACACCTACCAACATGACTCAGTCCATTTGTCAGTGACTTCATGGATTTGTGCCATGTTTTGGTCTGGCCGCCCCTACCTTTCTTCCAATCTACTCCTACAACATGAAACATCGCACGTCGAGGCAGTCGGTGGTTGGGCAAACGTAACACATGTCCCAGCCATCTCAATTGATCAAGTTTCACTACCTCATCAATTGATTTGCCATCCTTACCTAGTACCCGTTTCCTAACAACTACATTACTTACTCGGTGGTCCCAGGATATACGAGCAATGCTTCGATCAAATACTAGTAACCTACGGATATCATCTACTCTTACTGGCCATGTTTCACAGCCATATAGTAGGACGGAACGAACTGCTGCGCAGTAAACTCGTCCTTTGGTTGGTAGACGGATATGGAACAATAGTGTAAAAGTTAAGTCATTCGAGCATTGGTTAGAAAATTTATCTAAGTTCGGAACTTAATAAAGGGTAACTACAACTTTATACAGAATCGAGTGGAGACTCTTCAGATTTGATAACCAACACAATAAATACCCAGTTAATAAATCATTTTTCAACCTCTATCATCATTCAATCGCTATTAGAGGATAATAACAACTCAATTTGATTGACTCCACATACAATATAGTTTTCACTGGGACTAATTTCGACATAGATCAACTAGCGAATCTTGATAAATAACCTAACTAAATAACAATCAACTGACTTTGCATACTGTGCGAGATTTATGCTTTCTAACTGCTCACACCATGAGATTACATTTCTTCTTGAAAAGTGTGAAAAATTAACTGAGTTAGTATCTAATATGTCTGGAAGCGTGACCAAAAAGACCAAACGATAACTTTTCTGAAATTGAACGCAAATTTAATTGTCTTGATTATTGCAATCATTGGTTTAAAAGTTTAAAAACCTTACCGTTGACAGTTAAGATCGGTGGCGGGAAATAGGAAAAGTGATCAAGTAAGACAGAATTCTAAGAACTGTTATGTGCGCGACTCAGTACGTATATTTACTAAGTTTTCAGTAATACTCTATGTTGGGGTCATAAACAGAATAACGTTATTTGGTTGTTTAAACATGATCAGACGAGGTGGGACGTGAACGTGATGCATAATGGATTATTAAACTCGGCATGCTGATAATTCTTAAAATATTGAATGCTGCTATCACTACAAATGCTCAAAAGTGTGACTGCATTCTCACCCACAGTTAGTTGTTTATAAGCTCACTGATCATACACTAAGGTGTCAAGTAAAATAAAGAAAGTGGTGAATAGCGATTACGACACTCGGATTTTATTCAGTAGATTGCGAAATTCAAATCCTAACCTATTCAGTCAATCATGAGCAACGTAGAACCTGAATCGACCCAAGCTACCATGCCACACAAGTACAGAGAGATACAGTTATCAAGACAAATCCCAGAGTAGTAGTAGTAGTGTTGGTAAAAGTATCAGTGACAGTAGACTAGACGTAAAAAAACAAAAGCAGAAAGATATTTGACCATTCACTTTTTGAAAGAAGACAAAGAGTCTGGGTCATGTCGCCCAAAGTCCGTAGCCATTGGTCACGATGATCACGTGGACCCCAGTCACAGCCTACACCTGTTAACATAGCTATGTTCAATTACCAGCGATTCTATCGAGTAGTGTCACGTCTTGCTTTGGTCGCCCATAAATTTCTTCTAGACTACTCATACACCAGACAACTTCGCGCGTAAAGGTAGGAGGTGGTTGGAATTACGTAAAGTAAATCTTAATCACCACAGTTTAAGATACACAGCCTGACCAACCGATTTGTCAGCGATCTCACTGACACTCACTTGGCGAAGCCAAAATACACGAGCGGTGCTTCAAAGACAATTGTGGTTGAGTGCCAACCAAAGAGTATCTTCCATTCTTGATAAGCATGCTTCACACCAACCAAGTGTCTTTCAGTTTGGCTAGGTTTAACTACTTGGGTAGTAAAATCATCTCTCACCATTACTAAATATAAGTGTCCAGTACTTTGAAGGCGGATGGAAAGAACTTTTGGGAATTCATATTTCATTTCATCTAATCTGCGGCTAATAGAACGGAAAGCGTAAACAACGAAGAGGCAACGGTGTGCGTCCCAAACATTTTAAGTCCTTACTGTTCTGTTCATTCGGCTGTCTATTGAAATGCAGTCTAAAAATGTGTTGTTTTTAAGCCTACTTCTGCACCTAATTCGGTGAGACCGTGAGAAGTAGCAGTGGAGTCTACAGGTACACGCCTCAAACAATGCAGTTTCGGAAGTCCAGCAGTATTACTAAACTTTTTAAAAGCTCAAGCACGAGTACATAAATAAGTAGCCAGTAAACGAGTTGTGCTTTTCATAGTACGATAAAACTTTAGGAAACATCAGTTCCGATTAATATATCTAGACTAGGTCATTACAGTGGACAGTCTTAACTACCAAGATAAAATAACAGTTATTGTCAAGTAGTTTCACGGTTTTATAGTCGCACGCAATCTACGAATAATAGTAAGATAGATATAATTAAGTATAATATAGTTTTATGGACATATTGGGTTTCCGATCAATAAAAACAAGTCTATCAGGGAGTTAAAAAAGATTCTTATTTAAATGGAAAGCAATATTAAGTGTATATCCACAATAGAAGTAGAATATAACAAAAAATCTAAATGAAATGGTCAGATTTCCTTTTTATCTACTTCGCTTTCGATAACGGGACTACATCACTAAGGCATACAAAAATAGTAGCTCAGAGCCAAGCATATGAAACAATGAGTAATGATCTTCATTAAAATTTCTAACCTTAATCTTGTTTTCTACTGCAACTCTAAAAAAGGATAGGATCCGATGTTAAGGACGAATAAAGGTTAGTCTAAGAAACAAAACTAAAAGCACTTTAACATAACGGAAATCATTAAAAAACATGAATGCGAGTTAATAACACATGACAACCGTCAAACCTAAGATTATTGACGAGTTGATTGTAAGCAATGAATACAAGACCAATTTCAAGTCACATCACTCTCAAGCCGAATTTGTTCAAAATAATAAAAGCAGGATTATACAATTGGAATACTACAGAATTTGAGATGATAATATTATTAGATATGCGACATATTGAACGCCCATGGAAGAACAAAATGTGCCACTGTGCCGTATAATCATCCTGACGACCTACAGGCATTAAAGTTCAAACGCGTTAACAAATTTACTGGTTTAGGATTTGTTATCCACAGGTCTTCTAATAACCAGGTAGTATATGGGTTATCATGAAAAATTTACTGTGAGAATTGCACAAATGATTCGATATTTTTAACTTATTCTCCATACTTAGCGCCGTAAATAACAGATACAAGCAAGATCATGGTTTAAGGACAAACCAATCAGACTCAAAATAATGAGTTCTGGATGTCTGCAAGAAATTCATCCATTTAAATGACACTGTAGCTTATATCAGTTCGTGATGAAAACCCGAACTCAACTCCTGACCGTATCTCCTGCCTCTTAACACTAAATCTGATCTCTAACACTGATCTATAATCCGCTTTTGAATCTAAAACGTTGCTGAGTATTCTAAAAATCACTTTGGCATCGCATCAAAATCGTCCATAAACTTTAATCGCACCACCATATTTTAAAGACCTGAAAAGAATCACGATAGAGAAAACGTTTTCCTGTATGAGACCACTTTTTATTTATATAATTCGTAACCAAAAACGGGTGTGACATACAGCGACGAAGCATAACGGGCAAGAACGTAATAATAATCCACATGTAAGCACAACAGTATAATGCTCTCGCTCTTTCAAAACGTCCGCTTCAAAGGACAAGGTGAAATACTAGATTTTAAAGTAGTAAAAGTGCAATTCTCTTCTAAAGTTTAAAGCCAGATCAATCAATGAAAATCTGTTGTTTATCCAATAAATGAATATTTCTTTGTTTACTGTTTTTCAGGGTTATATAAAATTGATGATTCAGAATCAGCACAGCGTACGTTATTATTCGAACCAATATTGGCACAACCCCCATCATCATGTAACCAATCACTTCGTTTCTACTAACAACTTCCAAGAGTAAAACACACTCAGGAAAGGTTAAAATGCTATTTCATTGCGTTTTTTCAAGGTATTCAAATTTCCGCCTTCAGACACGATGCCTGAAATGCTTTAATCATGTGTTTTCTTTCTGTCTATTCCAGTGTCGTCTTATTTGCATAAAATTCATCAGTGTCCTCAAACCTTCCTTAAAGTAACTTATAGTTTGGGAAGATGTTACATTTAATAGGCTTCTTAATCTTCTGAATTCTCGAACTCTGTATACATCTACTTTTAAGATCTATGAGGTTGACTAGCCACTTGTTTTCTCAAAGTACTGGTCACCCTTGAAATAAGTATTTGCAATAAAACTAGACACCATCTCTACAATAATATCAATCGAGTTCATAATTGATAATAGTAGTGCATTTCTGTAGTCTGGCAAAATACAGATCAATAACTAAAGCATAATATGAGTTTAAAAATATGTCCGAGTAATCCCCATGAATACGTTTCTACCATTCACAGGATGCCGGAAAGGGATTCCAAATAGACCTATTATAGGATGCCAAATGTAAACTAGCGGCACAGTTTTTCCATTTTTGACTAGTATCAGCACCTATCTCTGGACGACAACAGATCTGATGAACGAGCAATTTCGTTTTCCCTTCTCTCACATGGGCGGAATAAAAGTTCGAAATAACCTCAGGTCTCAGTGTGCGGAGAATGATTACTCTACCATTAAATGACAAATACAACTACGGGCTTTAGTGGTATGTCTTCTCTCCTTTTGTAAAAACCAAGAAACTTACGCGTGCATTGAATTTTTCAAACTCTTTACATGTAATCACGACCGTTCCAGAATACTTACAAGTATCTTCCACAAGTTCTGCTGTATCACTGGGTTACAATGATGAAGTCATAAACCTATTTACTTACTACTTACGCTAGTTGCTCTTCGTGAAGAACCATAGGCCACCCACCAACATTCTCCATCCAATTCTCTCCTGGAAAATCTTTTCCAGTTCTTCCCAGTTGTTATTCATACTTTTCATGTCTGCTTCCGATTCACGACTCAATATGTTTGTCAGCCTTCTACTTTTCACTTCCTTCATCGTGCAGTTTGATGATTTCTTCAGTGTATGTCCTATCCACCGAAAACGTCTTTTCATAATTTCTTCTTGACCTGGAAGTTGGTCCGTTCTCTTCCATAGAAGGCTGTTGCTGATGATATCCGGTCAACGGGTCTTGAGTTGACCACTGATAACAGATACTTGTATATTTTTGATGATGGTTGTGATAGTTCTGGAAATTTCAGTTCCGTATAGAAGAATTGTCTTGATGTTCGTTTGGTATCTTCACATCTGCATCAGATCCTCCTTGTTTATCAATAATGCTGTAGGGAACGAGAGCTTCGGTGACAAAAACCATTGTATTATAAGTCGTAATGTCAGTTTGAAAATCATACACTGAACACATCATTTGCACATCTTTTTTTGTGTTGTCCTTTACCTATACGTTTATTCCTATGATTCTGTCGTTATTTTGACTGCTCCCTGATCACCTTTCTGTTCTCTTCAATTAAAATCTTCTGTTTCTATGCAGTCCATTCCCGACTGTTGCCGCGTAATACTTATTCCTGTCAGCATAAGTGGCATACACTGCTTTGCTGCCCGAATACACGGAAGATTTCACCTCTTTCAGAGTTTTTCCGTCAATTGTGATGATGTCGGTGCTCAATGTTTTATTTTTAGATGTTGCTTTCTCTCTAGTGTATATTGAGGCTTATCGATGCAGAAGCTGATACTAAACTGGCTGTCTTCCGCTGCATTTGCTGGTTTATATGAAGTGGGGTAGCTAGGTCACCTGTGCATTCCAAATCGTATAGTTATATGCAGCCAGTTCATAGCATTCCGTGCTTTCCAGCAGCTTTACCTGACTCGGGTTCTTACTTAGAATGCGTCTATCAGCTGTCCTCCACTCACGACATTGAAGTGTGGTCCGTCCAATGAACTCTGTATGATTTTAACTAATCTTTCATGTACTACAGTGTGGAAGAAGATATCGCAAGGTCTATAAGGAAGTTGATATATGGAAACGAGTTGTGCTATTACTAATAGCCCTGTCAACTATAACGTGACAAAATCACCAACCACAACACTGACTTATATGCCTTTTTCCGTATGCTATGATGATGTGTTAACCAGCAGGAGCAACCGTGAGTCTACCCCAAATCCTTATTAGTCCTCTGCATAGTATATTCTCGCCTGACCCACTACGTTCAGTTCAGAACACAATTATCAACCTTCCCTATATGAATCGTATATTTCAGACATACGTGATTTACTTACGAAGATAACAAACCGCATCACACTATAAAATAAAAAGTAATAATTATACAAGATCAAGCCAAATGTGTCAGTGAGTACTGAGGACTGTAACTAATAAAATGAAAATAAATTAAGAAGGTAAATCTCAAACAGTTGCCAATAGGTCAAATGGAAGGTGATGACAAGAGGAATATGAATATGCATATAATCTAATCCCTTAGTAGTCACCTGATAAGAATACATGTAATAATTTTCCACAAATAATCCCTAGCTGATGGTATGACCGATTTCAAAGTGAGTGATCAATCCAACATCTGAAAATATCGATGGAGTTATCATGCGAGATGAATAATAATGTGTAGCCATTTTCCTCTGTGTTCTCGACACAGTCAATAAATTGCTGAATGTAGTCTTAATGATTGCATACACTGACGACACTTAAATCACATCTGTCAAAAGGATTGGGAAGATGCTTGCTTTTCACTTGAATTGTAAATAAAATCTAATGTCTTCCGTATATTACATTTCTTAATCACGATTATTCTCGTCCTGATTAGTGATAAGTCAAATGTTTTCTTTAATCTGTAGTGACCTTATTTTACCAAGAGAACGCGACTGGTTTAACGGAAACAATTATTATTATAATCAATTGTACCAGTGATTGTTTTACTGTGCTCGTTTGTTTACAGTGTCAACAATCAAAAGTGCACTGGCACGTGACTGCCTCAATTGGCACGTTCGCTACGCCTGATGCTCACTTCAATCACGTTCATGTAGACATTGTGGGACCACTACCACCATCGCATGGGTATGATCACATACTCACATGCATCGACCGTTTTACAAGGTAGCCCGAAGCTATTCCCATCACGTCTATGACGGCGGAGACAGTTGCTCACCGCTTCGTAGAACGATGGATAGCGCTGTACGGTGGTCCCTCAACTGTTACGACTGACCGTGGACAAAAATTCGAGTCCGCATTATTCTACTCACTGACCCGGCTGCTTGGTACATAAAGCATACACACTACACCATGCCACCTTGCATCAAATGATTCAGTTGAACGGTTTTATCGCCAACTTAAAAGTGCTCTTCGAGCACACGAAAATGACAATTGGTAAGAAACCTTACTGCTCATCCTCTTAGGTATCAGAACGAGTTTAAAGGCAGATATTTAATGTCCCGTCGATGGACTTGTATACGGCAGGATATTGCGTCTGCCTGGGGAATTTTTCACACCACGGAGCAGTAGCGATTTCTGTGAGTCAGACTACGTCCATCGACTGTCTCAATTTGTGCCCACATTGTCTCCGGTATCAACTCGTATACAACATAGACAGGTCGCTCTCCCTCGAGAGTTATCTACCTGTTCAAATGTTTTCGTACGAGTAGATTCGGTACGCAAACCTCTGCAACAGCGTTACGAAGGACCTTTTCACGTGACTTCTAGTCACGAAAAGACTCTCAAGGCTGATCGACATGGCCGTGTCGAGATCGTCGGCATTGATCGTCTCAAACCAGCACACGTCGATGACAGTGCTTTACCCGATAACTCGAGACGCAATGCTAGACCCATCAAACCTATCAGCGGGCTCCTTACATCTACTTCAGGTCCCACGCTAGATACATCAGAGACCTCATTCTCACGTCCCGGTCAACAACACGTGTCGTCTGCACCATCTACGGACGAGACTTCAGTCTCACGTCCAGATCAGCAGACCACGCCACCCTTGACTTCGGGTGAGATTGCAGGCTCACGAAATGCGAACGAGACTACCATCTCACGTTCTGGTCGCCGACAACGCCTACCCGTACGTTTTCGCGACTTACCGTACAATCAACAATGGATACGGTGTAGAACTATTCCTATACTGCATGCGTGCTACACTTTGTCATTTTCTTTTGATTTTTCTTGTATCCTGAGCCCATGCCTTCAACCATCGCCTTTTCGGTATCGTCAACTTCAGTCAACCATGGCGAAAGGTGGTCTGATTGCCCATGCTCTTGTCAACGCACTCAATCGATATTCTGGTATCGAATCTGCCTCGCATACGCATGGTCTTGAACCTGGTTGTTACGGTCGCTTTCGGTTTCTTGGCTCAACGTGGTTTCGTCCTACGTCTGCAGTGTTTTCTGGTCCGGACACCTACGAACGCAATCTTCAGATCCTGGATACAAACCACTCTGGTATGGTTTACTAACTTGAGCAACAATGACAGCACATTTCTCCTGGTACCGTTCTACGTAAAAGACTTTAGATGGCAACTCGATGACCAACGATCGCTTTCTGTTCCCCCAAACCTCTCGTCCTACAGTAACACGTTTGCTGATCAGTCCCACGAATTAAACCGCCACGTATCGAAAGTGTAAACCCTTTCTAGCAAGCGGCTCCTGTATTGAACTACTTTTACCAAGAGAACACGATTGGTTTAAGGAAAACAATCGTTGTTATAGCCAATTGTACCAGTGATTGTTTTACTGTGCTTGTTTAAGTGTACTAAAGACAACCATTACTCCTCCATTATTTTTCCGTGAACTGTGGCCTTGTACGCACGTCCATTGATTCCGTTTGTATTTTCCTTTGGGACGATCTCGGTATTCTTTCGATACCACGAGTTCGCCAACGAATAAATCTGGTTATGATCTCCTTTCGCCTTCTGATGTTCTGGTACGCGCTCTTCTTGTAGTGGTGTTCATAGTCAACCGCGACTCGACTCCACGCTACAAATCAATGCTGAACAGCAAAAGAGCACAACGGATATGACCCCATCTCTTTGTGTCTCAAACTAAGAAAAGACGTTTCGTGTCGTTTTGTTTTTCAACAACTGTCAAAATGTGGAGACTTGTTTTCCATCTCAGTGACTCACCGATATCGTAGTAATTGTGTGGGGCTTGAATAATCTTTAATAGATTTTGTCAGAATAGGTGGACCGGTATTTCTGAGTAGTCTTAAACTGAAAAAATACATACCCCGTGATTATCGACTTCTGATCTTCCTATAATCAACGTTAGATTATGGTGACATGCATTTTCACCATAGAAGTTTGAAGAATTCATATTAGTGGACCAATATTCGGTATTTTTCACATTTGCACCAGCATTTCATACAAGTGAATATAACTTGGAATTATAAATTTTTTCTATCTACTTGTCTAGCTGACTAGCCGTAGAATGACAATAAGTATTACAAGATCGATTTTTACCGTATTTTTTGTTTCATTCTCTTACTTTACCACTGAACAAGAAGACTAATATTTTTACAGACATTATCATATTATTAACAGTTATCACATATGACTGTCATTTAAAACTAGAAGTGTTAATATCGTATGTAGATAATTGCTTCAATAAGGTTCATCCACGTGTTGCTATACTTTAAATCTACTTAACACAGCTGAAACTATAGAGTTTATCGATTCAGTCTGAGTTAACTTTGATTAAAGGTAATAGTCGAAAAATATCTTTAATTGGTACCTATTGCTGGAAACAAAAACGTACACTACACTAACAATTTATATCTAAAAACTAAGATAGACTGAGTAACCACATTTCATCAAACACTACGGTCAAAAATGCAAAGTCTGACTTTCTAAACTTTTTCAAGTATGATACATTGAATACACAAATCATTATCAACACCATGTCAACAAAGTCCTCCGTTTTAATGAAATTTTGTAGATTTAATATTCACTAATTACTTTTCTAAATGAAATTGTATAGCTTTCTGAAATAGTTGATATTGGTTAGTTGTTAATAACTGATGTTTGATCGAGATATTCAATCCATAATAAAAGTTGAAACAAATACCACATGTACTCGAGGGTTATGTATTTTGAAAATGCAAGCTATACACATTTGTTGGTTTTCTTTTTACGTTTTTTTGTTTTAAAATCTCATCAAAATAGTGTAGTTGATTCACTGTGAAATTCCTGTCTTCAACAAATATTCAGCCTAGATTATACAACAGATATAAAAAGGGAATTTAGGAAAAATAAAATAAAATCATTTATTCTAATCATGTAACATTGGAAAGTATTTACTTAAACTGATGATTGAATGATGACTCCTAATTTGTATAGATGTATTAACTTCCGGTCAAAATTTACAGATTCACGACTTATCCATAAAAATGAGTGAACTCTAGGAATTGTTAGTGTAGCATATTGTGTAAAGTTTGTTAAAAGTTGATCACACAAAGCTGACTCCTGTTTCAAATACTCCTGGACTCATCTCAGAAAATCCCTAAGAAGAGATAAAAGACGAAAGAGGGAAGAGACACAACCTTAAGAGTTATGGATCGCAAGAGGAATGTGGTAATCAAGTTTCAGGTGGACCCGAGGAAAATGCCCTACACAAAAGACTTTAAAGAGTAGAGGTGCGAGGTGGCCCACGGGCAAACTTGAGGAAGCTCTAAAAAGCTCTGAAAGAGCCAAAGATATTCCATCTAAACATCTTCCGGAAGAATATTCCAGAATCTTTACGTGTAGCTTCCCTATGGAAAACTGCTAAAACCCCTGTATGTAGATTGAATGATTATAATGATGATTTCGTTTTTACTAAAAAATTATAAATACCTGAAAGTTTTGTAACATGTTTGACACTGTTTGGAACAGTATTCCTTTCGCTTGTCTTCTGTCTTCTTATTTAGGAATTAGATATATATATATATATTAAGAATCAAACCTCTAGATATGACAGTATATGATAGCAGGTAAATGTGTTTCTCAACAGATTGCAAGTTGACTCATTAATCATCAATATAAATGTGACCTTTTGTCTAAACATGTTTGGTTTATGTTATATCTAGTGTCACCACCTACCTAAATAGAAGTATGTCAGATGAGACTTTAACCTACCATTCAGTGGCTGATGATTAAATATTGATATGCTACTACTTACTAGCAAAAGACATCAACATTTTTTAAGCGGAACATGTTTACTTATAACTGAAAACCTAACTCGCTGAAGTTTATGGTCAAAGAAGTTATTATTGAGCTTTCCAAATTAAAATTGATACTCTTCATAACCGGTTTAGACATTTAAACTTCCTAGTTTTTATGTCAGCACAAAACTTCACTTATGATAACCTGTAATGGCTGGTACTATGTCAAGCCCACACAGGTTTTTCTAGCTTTTGAACAAACCAATTTATACATTACTTACAAGCTATATTTTGACCTTATCGGTTATTAAACCTATTTTTTATACGATCAGATGTGTGTTAAATAATCATCCTATTCATAACTTGTCTGTAATTTATTTTTGTCTAGATATCACGATTGATCAAAACGACTTGGTTCACATGTCTTTTCCTATGCGAGTCGTTTCCTTTTGCTTCGTTTCTCCGATTGTCCGTTTGAATCAACGAGTATACAAAATATACGTATTCGAAATTTATTGTCGTATTTGGCTTATTTTGTTCCGTTATTGTCTAACGCGAATTAAGTCGGTTGGCAGCACGTATATTTTGATAACAACATCGCACGATTTAACTGGAGTCAAATACAGGACCACTAAAAACCATACCGAATCCGGAAAAGTCATACAGGTTTCAAAACTAGTTATTAATGTGTAGTGACCTACTTTTATCAAGAGAACGCGATTGGTGTATTGGAAACAATTATTATTATAACCAATTGTACCACGGATTGTTTTACTGTACTTGTTTGCTTAACTGTACCAAAACACATACATTCCTCCGTTGATTGTGACCTTGCACGAATTCGGTTACGCTCAGTAACCACACTTGAAACCTGGCACGATCTCGGTATTCTTTCAATACCACGAGATCGCCAACAAATACATCTCGACTACAGCCATCAACCGCCTACTGATATTTGGCTTACGGGGAATGTTATCGGTTAACTGGTACGTAGTCTTCCTGTAGTGATGATCATAGTCAACCGCGACTCGACGCTACACTACAAATACACTACCCACGTATTCCATTGTTGTATGGAGTGGAATCTTGGAGAACTACGAAACCCATCATCCAGAAGACACAAGTGTTTATAAACAGTTGTCTACGCAAAGTACTTCGGATTCGTTGGTCAGAGACTATCAACAACAACCTACTTTGGGAGAGAACAAACCAGATCCCACCGTAGCAAGAAATCAGGAAGAAGCGCTAGAAATGGATAGGACACACATTAAGGAAAGCATACAACTGCGTCAGAAGTAAAGTCATCAGTTCGGATCCTCAAGAACAAAGGAGAACAGGAAGACCGAAGAATACATTACGCCGAGAAATGGAGACAGACCTGAGAATAATGAACAACAATTGTATAGAACTAGAAAGGAAGGCCTAGGATAGAGTGGGTTTGAGAATGCTGGTGGGCAACCTATGCTCGATTGGGAGTAACAGGCGTAAGTAAGTTTTGAATCATAAGAAACCTACTAAACTTTGACCTCAATCCCCAATCTAAGGATCTGGTGAGATATTTTACGTTAATACTCATCACTAAAATGCACAAAAAAATTAAATCATTCTTCTCCTTTTGATTGTAAAAAGTGAAATGAATAAACAATCAATGAACTTGCCACAAAATCAACTGGATCATCTGGACGTATTTCAGAACATTCCAATAAAGCTTTCGATAATTCAGGCATAATATATTTCATTAAATAATAACGCATTGGTAGTGAATGTGCTTCAGCATACTGATAATTTTGTGTATTCAACAAAGAAAGCCAATTGTTCTAAATTAAAAAAAAATTTATACACTAAGTTTTATCAACTATTGAACTTTAATTTCACAGATTGAAATCATGAGTCAGTTGAAGCCAGTAGGTCCTGGGTCGAGCCCCGCGTGTGCGGGATCGTGGTTGCGCACTGCTGAGGAGTCAAACTTTAAGACTGGAAATGAACAAGCACATTGAAACCGATTCAATTTATCAACCAATCAGGAGAAGTATACACAAACATAGTAACAAAAATCAAACCAATGGGAGATACAACCAAAACAAAGAAGTAAAGAATGACAGGTTTAAAGTCAACAATAACAAATTAACATCGAACTCTACAGGACAAGCTATGAGCTATATGTGGAGAAATTTGGATACTTCAATTATACCTAAAGTTTGTGCTGATGATGGCGTTCAGAAGAACGATGAAAGTTCTACGACCAAACCATCCAGCTCAGAGAACAAAACGCCGTCAAAATGACTTAAAATCAATCAGTAACCTTGAAGGATTGTTGAATGGTAATATGTGACTTCATTATAAATTTTTTTTATTGATGGTTTTAGTTGAAAATAAAAGTAGTGTATACTTTACAGTTGGATCATTTAGAGTAGATAGAGCAACAAATTCGTTTGCTATTGTTTACTTGAATCTTCTTATTAATGATAAGGACTGCAATTGATCAATCTCTTACTGAGTGAACATGAACTTTGAGATGCAGGTACATTCAGCTGATAAGTCCTAAATAGGACGAGAACGCACATCAAACTGGATTCCATTGCTAGTCACAATCCATTTTTCCTTATAGATAAAGTAACATTTAAAAAATTCTCCACTGGAGTTACATATCTTTATTGATACTTAGACTTGTTTATTTTCATCTAAATTTGAATAAATCGTCACAAGAAGAATTGCTGATACAATATTTTACCTAAAATGTTTTCAATGCTTAAGACCTCTTTCTGAATAGACTGTAATTCGAGCAGTTAAGTTCACATTATTTGTCTGCTCAGTCGTTCAGTATTCAAATGTCTCGGAACAAAAAAAATGTAGAAAAGCCATGAAAAATGATTCATGATCTGGTTGATAATTTATAAACCAGTATCTGGTGGTGATTAACCGTTAATCACTGTTTATTATCAAAAGGGATAAGTGTAAATCGATTAATCACTTCATATGGACTTCAAATATTAAACAAATTCGTTACTTGAAAATGTTTATGTGATTCTGCTGAGATTTTTGTATCCATTCAAGATAATTGTGATCATGTCACTGAAAACCAGGATAAGTTGGATAGGGATACACTCAACGAAGTGTATTATGGAACTTCAAATTTTCATATCAATAAGCCAGTAAGTTGACATTTATTAGCTAA